CTCCTGGTATCCTGAGGTGCTTGAGGCTCTGGAAAGGTCCCCACCACGTATTCATTTTGCCCCTGATTGTTGAAAACTGGAACTCAAATTTTCTGATGATTTTGTTGAATATATATATATATATATATATATATATATATATATATATATACTCAAATCAGCACTTATGTTTCCAAGGTGCTGTTCCCACAGCAAGCATAAGGCTACTGTTTTTAAAACAAGATGGAAAAAATGCTTTTTAAAAACATGTGATGGAGTCAGGGGTGGTGGCACACATCTGTAATCTGTAATCCCAGCATGTGGGAGGCTGAACCAGGAGGATTGCCATGAGTTTGAAGACAACCTGGGCTAAGTAGTAATTTTCAGGCAAGCCCGGGCTATATAACAGGACCTTGTCTTAAATTAAAATAAAAAAAAATAGAACACAGGCTGGTCCTTAAAGATAAAGTAATATATTCAAGGATTTGGGAAAGAAGGCATGTATTTTGGAAAATAGTTAATTTAGTGAGAAATGTTTTGCTGCTTAAATGCTTCTCAAAAGGCTACAGAATGCCAATCGACTCCATAAACATTTACTTAGTACTTGCTTGCCCTGGGGACAGAGAAGTAAATTATTTCAGTCTCAGATACACTCGTTCTAACAGATTGGCATCTCCATCATCTGTGGAGCTGTAATCACGCTGGTTGTATTAGCTAATTAATTAGCTAACTTGAGACACATTGGTGTTTTCCTATTATGAATATGGGTACCATTTGATGAAGGACAGTCATTAACACAACGATTTGTATTTCCTCTTGAGTGTTTTTATAGTAGCTATGCAAGGGCAGTTTCCCGTGAATAAATGAGAGGGGAATATAGGGCTACAATTCCCCATGGTGAGGTCCAGCATTGAAACAACAAACAGAAAGAGGTTGTTACTGACTGGCCTCAAATTTTGACACAAACACCTTTGAAAATACTAGAACTCTATGGATGGCCTAGCGGTGCTTCGAAAAGTCTATGTTCCTAGCAAGAGCCATACTCAGCATTCATAGGTCACTTGAATTTTGGCCTTGGCTGGCTTTGGATCTGTTTGGCAGAACACAATGGCTAGGCTGTACTTTCTGAGTTGGTTTTGTTGTTTTACTAAGGTACAGTGGGGGAAAAGGAAAGTGGACTT